CACCCTGGGACATGGGCCCAGTACCTGGAGAAGTTCATGGCCGGCAGAGGTGGGACAGGGCACTCATGGGTGCATGTGGGGACCCTGCAGTGTGCTGTCACCCACTGACATCCCCTGGCTGCTCTCCCCGTGCAGTGGCATACGGCTCCTGGTACAACCACGTCAGGGACTATTGGGAGCGGAGGAAGGATCACCCCATTCTCTACCTCTTCTACGAGGACTTGAAGGAGGTGATGGACCAGGGTGGATGGTGCCGTGGGGTCTGGGGGAGTGGCAGGAGGGGTGAGCATTGGCCTGTGTTCCACAGGACCTCCGCCGGGAGATTGCCAAGGTGGCCCAGTTCCTGGGGCGGGAGCTGCCAGAGGCAGCGCTGGACACCATCGCCCGACACACTTCCTTTGAGGCCATGCGGGACAACCCTACCACCAACTACAGCAAGGTGCCATCGCAGCTCATGGACCACAGTGTCTCCCCCTTCATGCGCAAAGGTGAGCGATTCTGGGGGGCTTCTGGCACCCTGTTCCCCCTGGCCCCTGCTGAGCCCATCTTGCCCGGCCACAGGCACCACCGGAGACTGGAAGAACTATTTCACCGTGGCCCAGAATGAGCACTTTGACCAGGACTATGTGCAGAAGATGTCAGGCACTGACCTGTGCTTCCGCACTCAAATCTGAGGAGACAGTGCTGGATGCCCCACACATCCAACCCATGCTGATGGCACTGCTGCTGCACCACAGGGGCTCCTTCCCCTCTCCTGGGACTGCTGGAGAGAAATAAAACATCCTCCCTGACGCTGCTATGGAGTGCTCACTGACCTGTGCCTGTGTCCATCCCAACCCAGTCATTACACTGGGGCTGCTGGCATCTGCTTGGGTTGGGGACAAGCTTGTGGGGGTTTTTGGCAAAACTGTGGGGAAGGTGTTGCCTGGGCATGGGCAGTGAGAGGTGGCCTCCCATCCTCATGTCACGACATGGTCTGGGACCTGTGGGCGGGAAGCTGAACTGGTGAGGGTGATGTCCACTGTGGCCCTGCCTGCAGGTCAGTGGCTGCCAGGTTCTCCCTGTGCTTGCTCCTCCCTCCCAGCAGCCA